GGACATGAACGACTCAACTCAAGAATTTTAATGCATAACATATAGCAATTCAATAATTAGGAGTAGAATTTCAAAAAGAAATAGGAACTTGAGAACTCAAAATTAACTCATCTCAAGAATACTCAGATATAGGGGTAGAATTCTAGATTACTCTTTTACTGATTAGAAAGTAGATGTACGGCATGAGGACGAACTACTCCAACACTATGATAGCCCTACATACTTGAAATAACAAGGTTCTTGAATAATCTTGAAGAATTTTGAAGAAGAACTTGATTAGAAGCCTCGAAACCCTAGCTTGAAGGTAAACAATCAAGAAAACGTTTCTTGAGATTCTTGAATTAGTTTCCTGAAATATCTATGACCAAGATTTATGATTTTCATTAGTGATTCATAATTGTATAGAGGAATTTGAGTTGGAAAGAATGGAATTCTTGGAGAAAAACTTACCTTGAAGAAGAATCTTGAAAAAGATAAAAAAATCTTGAATGGAGTCTTCTACTTTGATTTTTCCTTAGGGTTTTGCCTTAGGGTTTGAGAGAGAAGAGAATGACAGATTAACAGATGAAAATCTTATTGTTTTGGGTCTTTAATTAGTCAAGAAATTCATTTAAGGTTTTATTAGAGGTAAAAAGATAAAAATGAACTTTTTTAATGTTTTCTCGTCGGCTAATTTGTCACATCATTGTATCTGATTACTAAAATGGTCATAACGTTTTACTCAAAACTTGGATTGGCGTGAAATTGGTGGCGTTGGAAAGAGAATTCAAATACCTTTAATTTGATAGGTATGTGCCACGTAGCTCTTTACATTCTAGGAGATATGGTCGTTTGAAGTTAACCCAAGTAAACTCTTATATCAAAACTTAATTGGTAAGGAAACTTTCAACTCAACTTTGTGCAAGGAGTTTTTAGTGACCTTAATTGATATCCAAAATCATTCCTATACTAAAGAATTTACCTTTACAAATATGAGCAATTGAAGAATAACCCCATAAGACCTTCTGTGCAAATAAAGAATAGTTCGGGCCTTAGCTTAAATTTTTTTGGGGTGTTACAATATCTCCCCTTTGGGAACATTCGTCCTCGAATGACGGTGAAACTGAGCATGGAAGGAATGGAGTCACTCTTACTATATTCCAGCTTAACTCAAAATCACAAATTACTTAACATAAGCTGATTATTTTAATTTAAATCACGAGATTTGGGTTCTATACCTTTGTAGGAAATCTCATCCCAAGAACACTACTCCTTACCGCTACATTCAACTAACCTTGAGCTCATATCACTAAACACCTAATGTATCACGCGTTGTCCACATGTTAACAGCACCACATTCAAGCTTATAACCTTAACCACTCAATAGACTCCTACTAACCCACTTTCTAAGAACTTCTCATCCTTTCATCATATCTACCCACTGAATTTTCATGCATTACCAATAGGAAGCTGACTTGGTACTTATTGTAAAACCTTATCTCCTTCTTCCTCCACATTTATAACCTTAGATGGAATAAACATACCATCATTAGCACAATAAGAAATAGCAATCCTCTTCTCTATCATCACACAACTACTGTCAACAACACCCCTCTCCAAAACTAAAAAGGATTACTGAAAGGACTTTAGGCCGAAAGATCATAAGAACGATTCATTCGAGAATTCTGATATAAGAATATGCATGACATAACATTATGTTGCTAGCCATTGAGAGTAAATCATGAACTGGTGAGACTGAACATATTGTGAGACATGAGTGCTTATATGAATAGGTTCATATCATGAGGCTGATATCCACAAATTTATGGATTAAGCTCGAGGTTAATGGGCTAAAGTCTTTACCCTCATTCTGGAAACTGAGCATAGATGTGAATCTCTCTGAAGTGTATGAGCATTAGGTCATAGACACAATTATGATATTAGGAATATTGACAAGATTGTTGTAATAACTTCGCTTGAGGAATATCTAAGATTATGAACGGGTTAATATATCTCTAAAGCTCTTTGTAAATACATCACTATCTCATCCTCAACACATGACTTGATCTCTCATCTTATCATGTCCCCCTTAGGTTTGGAGTTTACACTCTAAAGCCATGGATCTATTCTCATCATATCTAAACTGGTCTACATTCCATTTACTCTAAATACTCAGGAAATGCTTATCGCATGCCTACTGAACTCTCCATAAGCAGGTACTAAGACTCCTTTTAAGACATCTATCTAAGATGCTTCTCTTAACCTTTTCTCAATGGCTTATAAAGAAGGTTCATCTAGCTCTTAAGGGAAGAAAATTAATGCTTACCTTATCCTATTACACATTAATAGCACAATTAAACTATCTAGGCACACATGAAAAATAATCATTAACTTAATTGGAACCTTGTCTAACTTTATACGATCTTGGGTACAACTCTTAATTATCTTGTTAATCTAATGACTTAGCCATACTTCATTGCTCTCATCTAGAAGTTAGAATCTCATACTTGTACCACTCACACTTGTA